TTTTGTGTTCTAGACGCCCGAACATAACATTTGAGGCATTCTGGGCTATCATTTTTTTTCTTTTTCTCTCTTTTTTCCCTTTTTTCCCTTTTTTTTACCTCCCAAAGGGGCCCCCCAAATCCGCCCCTGGTCAACGGATCACGTCAGTGACGGCCATGTATCTTCCGAGGAGGACGGCTACGTAACAGTAACAGTAACTGCATCCTGATTTCTAAGTCGTTACTATTCATGCTATTCTATCTTGTGCACATTAAAAATAAAATAATATAAGCTATAATGATAACAAAGACACTTGGCAAGCTATGTTAGCGGCAATGTTTGTAACACCAACAAATAGGTTCTGCTTTGTATTAAAAATATATTACTGTATTAATAGTATAATAGGACTCACATATTAAACAGTACAAGATGTTTTGTATTTTATTTATGGGACAATACATCTTTAACTGTTCAGAAAGTGTTAGATTATTCACATGATTTCAGATAGCGTAGATCGTATAATTAAAACGTAAATCGACTTCACTTCGACTTGTTCATAGATGAACGACTCAAGTATATGCTTGAAACAACTCACCTGGAGTAAGATTTTGATGATTCAAATACTTCAAAGTAGTGTATGGATATATTTTGTGTAGAAATATAGTAAGGATGCAATAATGCATATAGGCCTAGAAGCACAACTTGTAAACCAAAATTCTCATACTAAGCCTACCACAAATAGAAAAAAAAATCAGACTATAATAATTAAGTGTGGGTTACCTTTCCTCTCCTGCTTCATTTACATACTTGCTGCGATAGAATCCAGCCAGACCGTTCCACAAGTCCCCGACATATTCCAAACTTATTTCATATTTTCTGTCTGGTAATAATGATCCCGAGTCCAGGTTGATAACAAGAAATTGGTAGTCTTCTTGTGTTGTATATGTGCTACTCAGTATTTTTGAGTCGGCGATATCTGTCACAACTGGTTCGGCTGTTAAGTTTATAGCGTTCATGTGTAGCTTTATCGTACTTGTTTTTTCGAGACAATCGATTTCGATCTTGACTGTACCATCAAACGAAAATAGCCGTTTTCCCGAATTCGCGGGAATATCTTTCTCGTACATGTACGGTCGCAATGAGAGTGTGTAAAGCGTCGGTTTAACTGTACTGGGAAGACGTCCTTCCCATTCTCCAGAGGTTGGTTGTGGAGCGGTAGGTGGAGCGTCCGTAGCTTTTTTAGTGGTCATCATCTTAGTTGTAACAGGTTTTTCTGTTTTAGGTTTTTCCGTTTGTGGCTTTTCCGTTTTTGGCTTTTCCGTAGGTACATTTTTGGTCGTTAGACCTACAATAGGATCTGTACCACTACATTCAGGTCTATCTGGTGCATAATAACACAACAGGCCAACGCCCGTGATCGTAATAGCTACTGTTATTGCCACAAAGAACAACTGTGCTGGGCTACAGTAAAATCCATTTCCTTTGCGACCAGGTTTGGCAGCCTCCTCATCTACCGTCATCGCTGTCATCGCCATTGTGCTCTTAAATACGAAGACGATAATATCAAGTAAATGATGTTATTTCTAAATCAACGTCGCACTATATCTACACTGTGGCTTTAAACACAACTACATTTAGCACAGCTATTATGTAAATAGGCGTGAAGGGGAATTTGTACCCTTAACGAGATAGCACGGGGTCACTTGATTCTGTTTGATCAAGCTTACTTTCAGTAAGATCTTACATGATATTTTCATGGCCCCTCTGTCTATCGTTTCCCAGGTGTTCAAATAATAACAACAACAACAACAACAACAACAACAATAATAATAATAATAATAATAATAATAATAATAATAATAATGATGATGATGATGATGAGATGAGGGTGACGATGATGATGATAATAATAATAATAATAATAATGATAATAATGATAATAATAATAATATTAATATTAATAAAAGAATATTAAAAACAATAGGCATAGTAGTATTAGTATTAGTAGTAGTAGGGTTTCAATTTATAGTTGTACGGTAATTATTTATAATACCTATTGCAACAGTATTTTTTTATGCACATAATGAATTACTACGCTAAAAATTGTCATAAATTGCGTTTTATTTCAAAAGCCTAAAAAATGTTTTATTATCTCAATAATATTATTCATAGTCAAAGCATTTATGCCATATCAGTCTAAATGGATTATTCCATTATACCTGCATGTTTAATTCTTATTTTAATTTTCTGTAATATTTCTATCGTAAAAACTGTAACAATTCAAATGAGGTATTGATCCTACTTTACATCGCAATTCTATTACACGCAACCGTCATAGGGTAGAGGGGTGCAAGGCAGCAGATTCAATAGCTTGATAGACGATTATTTAGAGAGATTAAGCTAATATTACCATAAACCAAACATATATCAGGGCTGCCATGATTACACATTGATAGAATGCTTAATTGTGCCAAAGTCCACGCCACTCTTTATTAAAGAAAAGATTCTATCTGAGAAAGAGTTTTATGAATATATATAAGAACAGCGTTCCGCACTCTTTTGGCCCCTTATCAGATGCGTAAGTCGGGCTAGACCTCATGTAGCCTAATGTTATGCAGTGCGGTTTCATTCCATGTATTTTACCCTCCTGGTTTTGGTTTTTACCTAAATGTATGTCATTAAATTGTAATTAATTGTTAATAAAATCTTACGTTATACGGTAACAATTAACACTTGAATATTTTTACAAAATAACACATACTTTCATGTATATTAATGCCCATATAATGAAAGTGACAGACTAGAGCTAGTTGACTTTTGGTGAATTCTGTTAAGTTCGTAACCCACCAAAATATTTTGGCGACCCACTGGTGGGTCGCGATTCACAGTTTGCGGAACATTTGTTGTGCAATAGAATATCAACCACAACCTGAGCCTATGATATTGTAATGCCGTTTAAAAAAAAATAAGAGTACATTATATAAGAACAGGTCTTATATTCATTTTTATCTTTAGCTCATGACTCATGCCATCATTCCTCTATACCGAATTTACTCGATCTTACAAGGTTAACTGCTAAACGATAACATTGTGTCTAGCCCCCGGGGGCATATAATATACACAGAAACCTAGGATTAAAATTGCTTTAAAATAAGAACATATATAAGTACACATTGCGGCTGGGGTAAAATGTCAAATTTTATTTTTTTTTTAATAGAAAACCAGTATAAAACATAGTAAGATTCTTTTGATCTTATGTGCAGTTGACCTAGGTGTATCTGTATCTGTATCGTCTTGTGCAAACACTTTCTAAGGTTGTCGTTGCACGTGTGACTTTGTAATACCATAGAGAAAAGAACTATTTTCTATATGGTAATACCCTCTATAATACAGTACTGTTTACTGACCTGTACAATAATAGGCCTAATTGTCTATCTTTGAAAAGTGTGTAAAATAAGAACAGTTTAAGCCTAGAATTGGTAAAAAATAAGAATATTACTTATTTCATTGAAGAGTCTTCTTTTCCGGCCTGCACAGTAGTTGAATAGTGGATGGCCTTAGAGGCAGGTCAAGATATAGATAGTACGTTTTTTTTTTTCAATACAGGGAGGCCTAAATTAATAACAAATATTTATACTTTTTCTAAAGTAGGTCTAATTAATTCATTTTATAATTGTAATATTATAATGTGAATTTGATATTAAATTATGCACAAAGTGCGAAGTCCTGGGCGTTTCCGCTTCTGAACGTATATTCTCCTACCAGTTAAATACAAACATAGAAGTTGAACATGAACTAAGCATGGTCTGAGTTTTAAATAAACGCAAACTGGTATGGTTAAGAGGTTTATTGATAATACGGTAAGATAAAATCTTGAAAGCCAAGTTATGCCAATAAACTTAATAGTATGTTCAAAGGTCACATAATGGAACATGCTCCCCATTTTATTAATATCCAATATTGGAACACGTTACATTCGTCGTGCATAATTATACCTACTTAACTTTTGAAATGTAATTTCATTGGTTTCAGCCAGTAATACAGTATAATATATATATAAAACACAAAAAGGAAAATCCGCAAACAGATTGTCCGGTGAACAAGTAGATCCACCAAGCCAGGATGTTACACTCAGTGCAACACAACCTTGCGTTGTGTATTATCGCTCTCCTCTCATACTCGGTGAAGCTTCACACACTTCTTCAGGGGAAAAGACAGGGGAAGAGCCATGAGAGATATGACAATGCATTTCTCTATCTCTGAGAAAATCATCCCTAACCGTCATTTCTCTGGATAAGGGTATACAGCACGAACACTATACAACAGCGTTGGAAGTTTGAACACAAAGCAACATGCAGTTTTCTTCTGCTTTTGACGAAACGCCTAAAAGCTGTGTTTAGGCATATCCTAATGTGCTTAATATAATAGGCCTATATTGACACGTTCAGAATTAATTTGAACTTTATGATATCAAATACTTTTGGACGGTATCGCATATCCTACAAGTATAAAGTCAATTTATTCTTATTTTTATAAGCATATCAGGGGCGGATCCAGGATTTGAAAGAGGGGGATGGATTCATTTTCCCATAAACCCAAAAATGAAAGGGGGGGGGGGGGGTTTCTCGGG